GCCGGGCCTGGAACCTCCGTTGGCAGCTCCGCGCTCGCTGCCCGGCGTCTCCCCAGAGCGAGGAGGGTCGCGGGGAGACCGTCCGACTCCCGCTCCCGAGTTTGTCTGTGGGAGGAGCTGCGGTGTGTGGCACCCGAGTCCCTCATTTCTCCCCATCGGCACTTGTTTTTTTCCTGAGTTTTCCAGATGTTGGGGGAGCAGGGTGTCAGATCCACATCCCGGGCCCCCAGCCAAGCTCTTCCTGGGGCTGGCAAAAAATAAAAATAAAAACAACAAAAAAAACCCCCAAATTTCCAGGTCCCTCCCCTCGTTCCCAAATGCGCTTCCCCTCTCGGATTCACTGCGTCATCATCCACTGCTTGTCATCGGAGGTGCAGCGGAGACAGTCCCAGTATTTTACTTTTTTACTCGTTTTTCACATAGTCATGAAGATGTGTTGTTGTTGTTTGGTCTGAATATTTTACGTGAGAGGAGATCCGAGAATAACCACCCGGAATACGTTGTATGAAATGCCCGTTGCTCCCCCAGGAGCTTGGCCGGGCACAGGCACCTCCTGGGAATCCTTCGGATGGCGGTTCTGTTCTTGTTGTTGTTGATCCTCTGGTGAGGCTATTTTCTCCATTGATTTTTAGAGAGAGCGGAGGGGAGGGGAGGGGGAAAGACGGAGCGAAACAGGCACCTGAGAGAGAGACGTCCATCGGCGGCCTCCCGCACCTGCCCCACCTGGGGCCGGGGATCGTGCTGGCGATCCTGCAGCCCGAGGGCGGACGCTCTGTCCACTGAGGCAAACCGGTTAGAGCTGGAGGTTCTTCTTTGTGTTTTTTTTTTTAAATATATTTTTATTGACTTTAGAGAGGAAGGGAGGAGAGAGAGATAGAAACATCAATGATGAGAATCATTGATCGGCTGCCTCCTGTGCACCCCCCACTGGGGATCCAGCCGCAACGCAGGCCTGTACCCTTGGCCGGAATCGAACCTGGGACCCTTCAATCCGCAGGCTGACACTCTATCCACTGGGCCAAACCGGCCAAGGCTGAAGGTTCTTTTTTTTTTTTTTAATCTTTTCTGAATGACCTGCTTTTCCCCGGGTTTGTCACCCTGATGAGGTTTATTGATTTATTTGCTTTCGTTTTTCAGTGGGGATAGAATGTATTTAGTCAATAGAGCAAGAAAGACAGTGTAAAATAGTTCTAAAGTGGCAAGAGAGTGGTGACTTTCAGAAAAAAAAAATCTAGTATTCCCAATTAATTTGTAAAGAATTCTGATTTCACTTATTTTCTTCCCTTCAGCATGTGTAGTATGTCCCGAGGTCTCTTATTTACTTTTGCATGTTTTCAAATGAAATTCCAGAGCTTAGACTTGGAGAGCAGACGTGTTCAAGTGTGATTTATTATTACAAAACAATGTGTTGCCATGGAAATCATAATCAACTGACAGCTTTTTTTCTGAAGGGAACAGATACTTGGGCTTTTCTGGTTTAACTGATAAAAGTGAGTTACAGTTTTCTTTCCCCTTTCCACATTATCACTGGGTTTGAGTGATTTTGCTGTATTGTTCAAACATTGGTTTATGTAATTTAAATATCAGTGGTGGTACCAGGCGTCTCCGGTGGGAAGCAGAGACCTGTAGTCAGTAACACAATCTAAGGCCTCGCTGAGCCTGCACAAGGACTTACTAGTAATTGAAGGCCCAGTTGTTCTTCCTGGGGAGCCTCCCCTGCAAGTGTCCTTCCTACCTGCTCACACCCACCAGGGAAGGAGCCTTTACACTGAGAAGCTGCAGCCCTGGAAAGCTTCGGGTGCAGGTGCACAAGGAGGGGGAGTGGGGATGAGGCTCTTTCTGAGGCTGTGGTTTCTTAAGTCTAGACATTTTTAGATCCTATGTTTTAATTTTGCAGCCACAGTATAAAGTGCACTCAAAGTATAATTTTTGCACATAGAGAGTCTGTGAAGATCAGGTGGACAAAGGGTTTATGATTTGGGGAGCTCATCTGGGTCAAAACATTAAACAATATCAGGCTGAGAGTTGCCTAATGTGAATGGAAGCCTGGGGGAGGGGAGCTCTTCTATGCTTATTTTAGTTTGGTGGTATTTTATGATTTTTCCCCCTTCTGTCTTCTCTTTTTGTTGTTGTTAATCCTCACCTGAGAATATTTTTTCCCTTTTCTTAGAGAGAGAGTGGAAGGGGGAGAGGGAGAGGGAGAGAGAGAGAAACATTGATGTGAGAGAGATGCATTGATTGGTTGCCTCCCACTCCTGCCCCCACTGGGGTCAGGGATCAAACCTGCAACCCAGCTGTGGGCCCTTTACTGGGAATGGAGCCCGAGACCCTTCGGTGCTCGGGCCTGCACTCTAACCCAGTGGTTCTCAACCTTGGCTGCACATTAAAATCACCTGGGAATCTTTTTAAAATCCTGATTTCTGGGCCTCATCCTCCAGAAATTCTGTTTCTTTGTTACTAATGTTGTGGCCCCACCCCATAACATAGGCTTTTAAAAAAAATATTTTTAAAAATACATTTTTATTGATTTGAGAGAAGGGAGAGGGAGAGAGAGATAGAAACATCAATGATTAGAATCATTGATCAGCTGCCTGCATGCCCCGCAATGGAGATGGAGCCCACAATCCTGGCATGGCCTTGACCAAGAATCAAACTGTGACCTCCTGGTTCATAGGTAGATGCTCAACCACTGAGCCACACCGGCCAGGCTTTAATAATTTTTATTTTTATTTTTTATCGTTAAAAGTATTACGTATGTCCCCATTTTTCCCCCCATTAACCCCCTCCAGCCTGCCTCCTCCCCCATCTTCTTGATGAAAGAAGCTCTACACACTATATACCATTAGAGCTGTAGCTATGATTACCTACGGATCTCTCTTGAAAATAGAGGCTCTTGCCGAAACCAGTTTGGCTCAGTGGATAGAGCGTCGGCCTGTGGACTGAAAGGTCCCAGGTTCGATTCCGGTCAAGGGCATGTACCTGGGTTGCGGGCACATCCCCGGTGGGAGATGTGCAGGAGGCAGCTGATCGATGTTTCTCTCTCATCAATGTTTCTAACTTTCTAACTCTCTATCTCTCTCCCTTCCTCTCTGTAAAAAATCAATAAAAAAAAATTTAATAAAAAAGAAAATAGAGGCTCTTGTGAGTACTGAGCATGTGATTATCTGCCCAGCTGCCCATTATGCTTTTGTTCCTGGAAGCAGCACCCCATCAGGTCAACACACTTACCAACACCTTCATGTGACGAGATGGAGCCAAACCTTGACCCTCTGGCTTAAGCCACCTATAGGAAGTTAATCTCTTCTCTCTTCAGTCCATTGAAAGTTGCTGTGGTGTTGGGTGAGGTCACCATTCCCCCCAACAGTTCCCTCACGAATTCCTTGGGGTTAACTGAGTGTACAGCCCTGGGGAGTGCACAGACTTTAAGGACAAAGTTGCACATTTCTACATGATAGTGCTCGGTGGAGAGTTGCTGCTCTTCATCTGTTACAGAAGAATGGAGAAGAACCAAGCAACACTTGATGGAGTTACATTTATTATTACGCGTGGGCCCAGAGAAAAATGTCTCTAGAATTCTGGGCAAAGTCACACAGGAAGTTTCCTGTATTTATACCTTTTTACCCTCTTGGTCTCCCAAATATGGGGTTTTCCGGTCCACTTTGCAAATTCTTAAAGAGAGCCCCTATGTGCTGGGGCTTTGAGACCTCAACCAAAGGCTTGGCCTGGTGCCAGCACTGATAACTTCGTCTGGGGAAGGTTTAATGGCCTCTCTGAAATGGGAGTAGTCTTATTTTCCTTTTTATTTAAGCAAGCAAGTATTTACAAAAGCCAAAATGCAGAGTTAAAATTTCAAACAGCAGTTTTTATATAAGATGGATGGATGCTTTGCATCCATTAATTTGGACGTTCCTGATAAAGGACCAATCCCAATGTCACCAAAAATCAGGCAGTCATCTTACTAGTGGCCAAAAATTACGCCATCTACATGTATTCATAGATAATTTGATGATTGTCTTTTATTTATTTTTTTAATTAAATCTTTATTGTTCAGATTATTACATTGGTTCCTCTTTTTCCCCCCC